CTCCCGTGGTCAGGAACATTTTTTTCGTAAGCGCGCCGTCCTAGCCTCGGTGCAACCCAGCTTCTAGATCGCTTCCAGAAAAAAGGTTTCGCTGCTTCAGACCGGCTGAGGCCAATGGTGGCGGCGGCCGCGAGGCACCGCTAGCCGCTCTTGGTGATAGCAGCTCATGATGGGATCCGTCGGCGCCGCTTATAACTCCGCAACACGGTGGAGTGTATACTCCATTTTTCGTTACCAGCACCAGAGATAAGGGCAAGTTTTCGCCGGGTTCTTGATAAAGATTTTGACAAACGCGCCATGGTGAGCAGATTTTATCAGTTCCCATCAAGATACGGGACGACGCGTCTCTGCTCTACACAATTTGCTCGGGGGCGTCCCGACCGATAGATAGACGATCTCTCGCCCAACTGAACGACGTCGATTGGTCGTCGGCTTGGCGCTATCAGAGGACAATCTTTTGTCTCTTGTCCCCTGCTTGACTCTTGACTCGAGTCTATCTCCACGACGTCAACGCTCAGGAGTGGTCGCGTGATCAACAGGCGTTGCGTGAGTTCTGTTCCTCTCGTTGCTGCTTCTGGTCGATATCACCTTGTCATTAGGAAGGATTGCGCCGCAAAAGCATACATTTGGAAAGATTCCTCGAAAGTAGTTAAATTGAAGTGCTAGTACATCGTAGAGTCGTGATGGAATATATCGTCTAGATATCTCAATCCAATCTGGAGCGGATGCATCTTAGACTATTGATACACATCTCCTTTCGAAGAGTAGTCGTTTTCATTCAGCACAACATCCACAATCATGTCACAAGACTCGATACCCCGAACTCGGAGAATCTGGATGACCTGGTCGTAAATGATGCCGGACGATGCTTTTTCTACTATCTGGAACAGTACACAGCTGAACATTTTCTCGTTTCCTCGTGCGTGCGGCTACACGGCCCTGGCTTATACGGATCTAGCTTGGCAGACTGTGGACTACGGTGAGTACTAGGGCCAACGGTGAGTGTCAAGAGACTTCAACGGGCGAATGAAGAGCCGCCCAGATCCCGGTATACTTATAATAGGCCCGAGCAAGCGGCGAGGAAGAAAGCTGGAGCAGAGACCATCTCTCCGCATCCCCGGTGCACGGGGTCCATGGAGCTTGGAATGCATGCAGCATGCGCATGCGGTGAAGGGGGTTCACTCGCATCTGGCATCTGGCCACTACAGAAATTCAGAGGCCTAGAACGCCAAGCTAGTGAGGAAACACGGAGAAGCTTGTTTGGTACTGCTTAAAAGATCCCTGGTGGATTCGTCACCGGGACGTGACTAAGTATTGACTTCTCCTTTGAGTTTATTGATTTTGATCTGGGGTGTTGATGACAAGTTGCAGACTTGAGCATGAATTGCAAGTGTAATGGTTGCGTCCATAATCAAGACCAAAACTGTCCTTACGAAGCATAATTATTGTTTCGTGATCTTACGGAATTTCATTACAATTGTTCTAACAAGTGAGAGTCATCCCAATGTTGTTATAGCTACTTAAATCGTGGTTCGTCCCGTGTTTGACGTCGAATACAGAAACCCAAGTCGTGTCTCGGACAAAAGCTATATAATTATCGTGGGCGAGCATCAAGAGCTTGGTCCCTAAACCAGAATCGTCAGCTTGAGGCAACTTGTATCAGATCACAGGAAATACTTGCCGACGTCCCGCACATGGCCACGGTCCCCGAACCACAACCCCCCGAACCGCCACAGGTCGCAGCGACGCAACCACCAGCAACGCCGTCGCCGGCGTTGACCTGCGCTGGATCCGTGGCGTACAGGCCCTTGGCCAGGTAGTGGGGATGCGACCACGGGCCCTCGAGCGTGTAGTTGGCGCCCCAGTGGCGATACGTCCTCCCCTTGGGCCCGAGCTCGCGCCCCTTTTTGCTCGCCCGGCTGACGGCCCTGGCGTAGCTCTGCTCGAGCCGCGACTTGTAGAGCGCGCGCATCTTCTTCGTCACCTTCTGCCGGGCCTCGGTCTCGTTGACCTTGACCGCCGGGTGTGTAGAGATGTGTGCCGATTTCGAGGGCGGCTGGGCGTGGGCCCTGCCCGAGTCGTACCAGGCCTGGGCGACTGTCGTGAGATCGTGTCAGTCGCTGTCAAAAATGTCCGGAGGTCAAGGATATAGTGGTCAAGATGGTTTATTCGTCTACTCACTCTTGTCTTGCTTAGATACGTTGAGTAGGACTCCGAAAGATGATATACTCCAGGCTCGAATTGCTATCAAATCATGGTGAGTTGGAAGAAGCAACGACCGGTCTCATTGTTCACTTACTTTCGCAATACCAACATGTACACTCAGAGTATATCTCTCCGTACATGGTCTGATAGGTCTTGGTCGTCCATTCGAAAGCCTCTGATAGTTTGTCTTCGTCCACCTTGTCGTGGTGGTCAACGAAGAGACCAATTTTGGCCACGGTGAACCTGTAGTACTGCCGCGGACTCAACTGGTGAGTATGCCATATTAAATCTATATCAACTGTCGGGACCACCACCTGATCAGGTTTTGTGGCCATTATGCTGAAAAAGCGGTCATATTTGATCAAGAACCTTGCCATGGTCTGGTTGGCTTCTGGGCTTGACAGCCAGGCTATCTGATGTATGTCAGCATATCAAACATCGGTGTCCTCGCCGGCGGATATCATACTTTGTACATCTTTTGCGTGAACACGCCTTGTCGCATGACAGCTCCCACGAGGTCGAGTCCAAATGGTGATGCATTGTCCCAGTAGCGACTCATCATATGCCGGATCTGTTGTCTGGCTGCCACGTCTGGCTTCTTTCCGCCGTTGGCCCGTTTCAGCAGCGCTTTGTCCTTGATGCTCTTCTCTATAAGATCCTTGACCATGAACATGCTCGGTGTTGTCTCATCGCCAGGCTTCAACAAGTCGACGACCTCTGCTAGAGCTCCCCGTCTCAGGAGGCGGTTTGGGAAAAGTCTCGGCGAATCTGATCTGGACGCTTCGGTTGGCATGCCTTTCTTCATGTCCAGAATCGTCCCTGGGAGAGGCTGATCGTTATTGACCAAGTACTTGACGTGGTTCCGAAACTTGGCTAGACGAAGCAGTTCATGATTAATGTTGATGGTGCATTTCTGACATTGTTGGCTGAGATCTCCATCACCGTAGCCTTGTCCTGCGATATTTTGCGGTCTCGATGGAGGGAACTTGGTTTCAAAATCTATCCGATCCTGGCCGCACGTCGTCCAAGGGATCGATACCTCTCCAGAACATGCCGGGCATCTGATGGTCTTGGTGTCTCCGTCGTCTGTGTTGAACCACTGGCGTCCCGTCGCTCGTGTCCAATTCGACTTGCACTTCTCCGATGCCATGTACTGGAACCTATCGTCGATCATCTGGTCGACTACATGCCAAGGCATACCCGTTGTCCATAGTGCCCGGTGCCCGTACCGAAGGCAATCCTGTTGCGCCAACAAGTCAGCAGCGATTGGTGGTCTTCAATTTTGAGACTCACTTCGAGAAAAATCCGAGGATTCAACATGTGCGCATGTAACACGAGGAGAACATCTTTTTTGCTTTTGTCAATAGAAAGTTCACCACACACGAACTTGTGTCAAGTCAATCATACCCAACGGTGGCATATTATCCTCGCCCAGATTCATTGGATCCCAATTGGCCATGAAATTGAGATATCTGGTCCTGTCCTTTTCCATGTCCCTCTCGGTCAAGAACTGTCCGCCCAGACTGTTCCACCACGCCTCATAGCGGTCGACGGCCCTGGCAACGAATAGCGCCCATCGCTTCTCCCGCACCGCCGCCAGCGCCTTGCTGGGGTTGTTGGGGCTCGAGGGATACCGAGCATCCCACAGCCCAAAAAGGCCGTCCGAGAAGCCGACATCGTCCTTCAGGTTGTGAAAAGTGTAGAGCAGTCTCAGATGAACCAGGCACGTACCGACCTCGGGGTGCTGCGGCGCGTCGCTCAGCGACAGGTTGGAGAAGCCGGAGTTGAGTCGCGACGGCCCGGCGACGGATCCCCGCGGGCCTATCGGGTAGGCTGGCGGGCTGTCGGCCGTGGCCTGTCTTCTGTGAGCTCCGACCATATTTTGGGTCTTTGAAGATCTATGGTCCAAGATTCAGTGTCCAATAAGCACGCCAAAACACACAGCAAATATGTACATGGCAAGTCATTTACATTTTATCACATTCCAGAAGACTGCACAGCCCCTTGCTTCTTCAATCGAGACCTCGAGCGGTCGCTAAGCAACTACCCTAAGTATCAGGAAGACGGTTCGAAGGATTTCTCGTGATGGAACGATCTACGGAGTGACAAGGGTCTGCTAGCGGGTCCTGTGCCTATTAATACCTGCCTGCACTTCTTTCTTGATTGATATGGTCCTGTCATAGACGTCAGGCTAGGTATGATGCAAGTATTCTATCACACGGCCCAGGAGAGCACAGAACAAGCAGTCCTTGTCCACTGATTTGAGCCCAAGTTCAATGTTACACTACCGATTCCGGCAACTGAATCGTTGGCCGTCGGCCCGCGCCTCAGCCATCGCCATGTATTATCAAGGTATATTCTCCTAGGTCGAAGGATCGAAGGATCATTAAGAAGGATATTTGACAGAAATCCCGTCAACAGAGCATGGATCGGATATGACTTTCCGATAGTATGCAGAGCGACAGTCCCCTTTATCCTTTCGTCATACAAAGTCACTGGCCTAGTGTCAACATTGTTCATATCCAACTTCGTACAACAAAAGTACAACACGTCGGTTTGCTCTGGCCCGCGTTGGACAGATGAAGGCGCGTTGCAACAGGCAGCAACCCAATCGCGTCTAGCCGAGAGTAGTTCTGATTCGTCTCCACCCGAATAGATGGAAAGACGATGAAGCTATCGTGCCCGACCGTAGTCCATGTTTTCGTATCGTATATCCACAAATACACCTACTTGGATGCAAATTGATCAAAAATTTGTCATCCAATCCTGGAAAGCAGCATCTGCAAACTTCCAAAGGCCGGTTGGCGAAATGGTATCGCGTCAGATTTCGGCTCAAACTGAAATCGTGAATCATGTTCACTCTCTGAAGATTGTGGGTTCGAATCCCATATCGGTCGACTTTTTGGTTTGTTCTTCATTTTTGATTCCCTTTTGTACGGTATCTGCCAGCGTTTTCTTTTGCTTGGCTGTCGATATTTATATGCACTATAGCTGGCAAGCTTTTACTTTACTTTAAAGGGTTGGCGTCTTCTCACTTGTTCTTGCCACCGTATACAAAACAGCTTTATATCATTCTGGTGCTGTCATTGAGATGCGGTATCTTCGTATCAAGGCTTCGAGAGTTGCAGCATTCTACTTTTTGAGCTTCTTGACGGGCTTGCAAACAGTATGCTGTTAATACGGCTGCCTGATACTATGCCAGGCTATGCGGGCTCTCGTATAGGCAAGCCTTCTCGCCAGTGTGCATAGCTTGAGTCCGGCCTCGGTCGAGCTCAGCCACGGTTGTATGACACATGGAGGAAATGTTCATCCTCTTTTGGATTCCTTGCCGGCGTGACCCATTTCTATGCATGCGACTAGGAAAGAGAGTTGATGCACAAAGTCTACAATGTCCCTTGCTTGACAACAACCTCAGAGCAGCATGAGAAGCAGAAAAGACGAAAAGAAACCAAACTCAATGGGAACTAAACTGCTGGCAACTGGAGACTTTTTCTCAGGTCCGGACCTCATTGCCAGGCCAATCCTAGCATGAAGCTCCACTAAACACCTCTTTAGCGCCTCTGAGCTTCTATCGATAAGCCATCGTGGCGGGGTATGTTCCGCGTTTCTCTTGGGGGAAACTGGAAAACGGGTCAGGGACGGACCATTGACCAGTCAGTCAGTCATACGTATCAGCCGCCGCCTTGTTGCAGTCGGTGCTGGCCGAATTACTCACCTTGCGCGCGAATGACATCTATGACTCGACATTTGTTAGGACCGCGTTCCTTCGAGTTGTCATCATATATACTTAGTTTTCTAGCAATATTGCCTACATTGTCTATCTATCATCAAAAACATTTACCACAATCGACACAGTGTCACCCCATTGACGTGCAATCGAAGAACAGAATAGCGTAGCGCGGCGTATGCCACGACGTCATTCCACAACGAAACCATAAGTAACTGGCTGGCCCAAGAACGCGCCCCGAGTATATGGGAACAAATCGCATATAGTGTGCGCCATGAGCAAGACGACAAAACAGCTTCCGCACGAGCGGCGGAAAAACGAGGCGGCCCTCAGCGAGTTTGCCGAGTTCGTGGAGAAGCAGCAGGCACTGCGGTATCCCTCCTCCAAGGCCACCAGCAATAGCAAACAACATGCCGACGCCGCCGCGACCGAGCACCACGAGGAGCTGGACATTCTCGACTCTCTCAACCTGGAGGACTCGGAGCCGCAAGTCCCCCTGCGCGAGCTGTTCCTTGCCGAGGACGAGACCAACTTTGATAAGCTCGTGAGCATCATCGAGGAGAGGTTAAGAGAAGGCCACGCCGAGGCCGTGTTTGATATCGGGTTCGAGAACAATGGCGAGTCCATGGGCCTCACGAAACCAGAGTGGGAAAAGGCGCTGTCGCGGCTGAAAACGGCGGCCAAAAAGCTGCGGGCCGACTGCGATGTTCTGCTGACCAAGAACATTGGAGGCGACCAAGAGGCCGAGTCGGTTATCACTGGCAAGGACAAGGACAAGGACTGCAGTGGCAAAGTCTTGATAAGGCAGGCCCCGGCGACCACGGAAAATGTGATCGAGACTCGGATTGCAGTCGTCGGCAATGGTAAGACAATCGGTGTTGTATAGTGCATGGCCCAAGCTTACCTAGTAAATCAGTCGATGCCGGCAAAAGTTCCATGCTGGGTGTTCTGGTCAAGGGCGACCTGGATGATGGACGTGGAAAAGCCCGTGTAAATCTGTTCCGACACAAGCACGAAGTGGAAACAGGTCGTACCAGCTCTGTCGGTATGGAAATCATGGGATTCGACACCATGGGAAAGACCGTCACGTCTGACACTCCTGGCAGTAAGTTTTGTGTGTATAGGACAGACCATACTACTTGCTAATCATGCACAGGAAAACTGTCCTGGGAAGAGATCGGCAAGCGCAGTGCCAAAGTCATTACCTTTACTGACTTGGCTGGCCATGAGAAATACCTGCGCACTACAGTGTTTGGCCTGCTGTCTTCCAGCCCCAATTATTGCTTGCTCATGGTGGCAGCGAACAATGGACTGATCGGCATGAGTAAAGAGCATCTTGGTATCGCCTTGGCTTTGAATGTCCCAGTCATGGTTGTGATTACCAAAATCGATATCTGCCCGCCAAACATTCTCGAGGAGACCATTAAACAGATCACCAAGATTCTCAAGTCCCCGGGAGCACGCAAAATCCCCATCTTTATCCGCGATCGGGAGGAGTGTATCAATACGGCAACTCAGTTCGTCAGTCAGAGGATATGCCCAATCTTCCAGGTGTCCAATGTCACTGGAGAGAACCTCGATCTGGTTCGGACCTTTTTGAATATCCTTCCCCATCATGGCCGCTACGATGCCGGCGCCGATTTCGAGTTTGCCATTAACGATACATTCTCGGTACCTTTTGTCGGCACGGTGGTCAGTGGTATCATCAAGTCGGGGGTCATACACGCTGGAGATAATGTTTGGATCGGCCCCGACAGCAATGGCAACTTCACAGCCACCAACGTGCGGACCATCCAGAGGAAACGACTGGATGTCCCTGCAGCATCAGCTGGCCAGTCTGCCAGCTTCGCTCTCCGGAAAGTGCGGCGGAAAGATGTTCGAAAAGGAATGGTTGTGTTGCCCAAGGTCGAGGGCAACGCTCCGCCAAAGGTCACAAGAGAGTTTGTCGCCGAAGTCCTCATCTTGTCCCACGCGACCACCATCAAGACCAAATATCAAGCTAGTACGTACCTATCCAAGCTCTTTCCATTTTGTTCATCACACTCGCACATCTATGTGCACTCGTCATCTTGTTTGCTTTGCCGTCCGTATTCTAATATGAGAAATCAGTGCTGCACGTGGGTGCCGTAGCACAGACTTGTGCAATCATTGATATCGACAGGCCATTTATCCGGACTGGCGATCGTGCCACTGTAGCCTTCCGCTTCACCGCACGTCCTGAATACATGGTGGAAGGCGAACGTGTCCTGTTCCGCGAAGGACGAACCAAAGGTTTGGGTATTGTCAAATCGGTGAATTATGATCCCGCGAAGCCGCTCGGAGGACAGGAAAAGCCATCGGACGGAGATCAGAGCGCGCAAAAAGCGACTGCGCAGCCAGAAGTTCAAGTTGGCGCCTAACGGCTGTGAACTTTGATTTTGCTGTTCAAAAGTGTGGCCGTCTTTTACTAAGCAGCATGTATGATAGTAGTGCTGTCAAATCCAGCAACTATAAATAACGATCACAAGCGATGAAACATTTGAGTCATACTTCCTTGCAATACGTTGTTGTCTGTCACTTTCTCTAAGTGGCTCGGCTCGTGATGTGCTGTTTACCCTGTAGGAGGAATGTGATATGGGAATGGAATGACGTTGCCAGCTTGCTAGACCATCTGTTATTGGGCTTGTCATTGCAGTATACGAATTCCAGCTGCCTGCCGTCGATTACGAATACACCGGAGCGGAGGGTCGGACCATGGTGATGAAACTGTCCACGAAGCGAGTATATTGCCGAGAGGAAGCGCTTCGGCTCCGGATTCCGCATTACCTAACGCAAGGCGATGCAAATGTAGTGCAAGTCAACCAGTACGGTGTAGGGATGATGCCACAGACCTTGAAGATGTGTAGGTACCGCATGTAATGCACGGAGACTAAATACCCCGTCAACACTAAAAAGTCTGCGAAAAGTATGCGAGAAGTGTGCGGTATGCATGCTGGGATGCTCGACACGACTCAACTCGTCTAAGGAGGGCAGCTGGCAGGAGGGGGAGCAGCAGGAAATAAACGAGGACGCACAGTATCAAAGAAGCGTCAAGGCGGTATACTGGGTGTGTACGACGACACTCCTCTCAATAACCAATGATCGTCAACTTCTTCAGTGGCTGCCTGCATTAACCTCCTTCTGCCGATCTATCCCCTGCTGGGAGGTCCACTATACATGGCTGCCGCGGCCAATGGGTCGCCTCCAATTTCTATTCTGTGCAAATCTATGCCGACTATTTTCGGTATCTGAGGAATTCCGTGGGATTGTGCAAAACCACGAGACGACCTCCCTGCCATGCCTGCTTCTTGGTTCCCCCAATGCCGCCCAAGCCCCCCCCATCTGCCCCATTCCTATCCCCTTAGTTAACCGCTAAAGAAACTTGGGCAAAGCTTGTTGGTCCGTCTCCCCGCCGCCCCGGGATGACCAAGCTAGGGTCTCATATTCTTGTGCGCATCGTAGGTGTGACATCAACGCAAGTCAGTTCGACCGTTGATTTATTAAGCTTCTCGACGGGGCGGAAACAAAAAAGACAATAAGTGGTACGATGATATTATGTATGGATAGGCGATTCGGGGTAGCACCCGTAATGCTCCCGAGAAGGGGACTTGCAACCACCAAAGATCTTGATGCACGAATTCGGGAATTTCAGACGTCCGATCGTCCGTCGTCTCTTGTTTTATGCGACTCCTCTCCAAGAGACTACTACTACACTACAAAATACACACTATCCTCGAAACCAGCAAATACCCTCTTTCCATGGCGGGTCCTTTTGTGTCGATCTGCTCATCGCCTCCCGGGCTATAATCTGACCTGTGAGCAGCTAAGTATATCTAGTATTCATATATTTTAAAACGTCAAGCCGCCCACGTCGTCCCTTCTTCGTGACGACCTGTTTCGTTTTCTGCTTCAAAACTGAAGCTTCCATTACTGCCCAATATGGCTCCTCTCAATACCGAAAGCGTAGGCCTGGCCAACTGGGCCCTGATTAGCACAGCTTCTGTAAGTTGACCTAAGCACATATTATACGACGCCTTTGAAACCATCATCGCCTCTCCCACATGGTGTAGTTAATGACTGACCCGGTTCGGCCTCCAAGATCGTCGTATACTTGCTCTCCGTGGCCGTATATAGGCTGACGCTGCACCCCCT